GCCACAGTCCTCCACTAACAACGCCGCCACAGCCCTCCACTAACAACGCCGCCACAGCCCTCCACTAACAACGCCGCCACAGTCCTCCACTAACAACGCCGCCACAGTCCTCCACTAACAACGCCGCCACAGTCCTCCACTAACAACGCCGCCACAGTCCTCCACTAACAACGCCGCCACAGTCCTCCACTAACAACGCCGCCACAGTCCTCCACTAACAACGCCGCCACAGTCCTCCACTACCAACGCCGCCACAGGCGTCCACTAACAACGCCGCCACAGCCCTCCACTAACAACGCCGCCACAGCCCTCCACTAACAACGCCGCCACAGTCCTCCACTAACAACGCCGCCACAGCCCTCCACTAACAACGCCGCCACAGTCCTCCACTAACAACGCCGCCACAGCCCTCCACTAACAACGCCGCCACAGCCCTCCACTAACAACGCCGCCACAGTCCTCCACTAACAACGCCGCCACAGTCCTCCACTAACAACGCCGCCACAGTCCTCCACTAACAACGCCGCCACAGTCCTCCACTAACAACGCCGCCACAGTCCTCCACTAACAACGCCGCCACAGTCCTCCACTACCAACGCCGCCACAGCCCTCCACTAACAACGCCGCCACAGCCCTCCACTAACAACGCCGCCACAGTCCTCCACTAACAACGCCGCCACAGCCCTCCACTAACAACGCCACCACAGCCCTCCACTAACAACGCCGCCACAGCCCTCCACAAAGAGGAGCACGACCTACGGCGCCAGGTTCGCCTACACACTAACAACGCCACCACAGTCCTCCACTAACAACGCCGCCACAGTCCTCCACTAACAACGCCACCACAGCCCTCCACTAACAACGACGCCACAGTCCTCCACAAAGAGGAGCACGACCTACGGCGCCAGGTTCGCCTACACACTAACAACGCCACCACAGTCCTCCACTAACAACGCCGCCACAGTCCTCCACTAACAACGCCACCACAGTCCTCCACTAACAACGCCACCACAGTCCTCCACTAACAACGCCGCCACAGTCCTCCACTAACAACGCCACCACAGCCCTCCACTAACAACGCCACCACAGCCCTCCACTAACAACGCCGCCACAGTCCTCCACAAAGAGGAGCACGACCTACGGCGCCAGGTTCGCCTACACACTAACAACGCCACCACAGTCCTCCACTAACAACGCCACCACAGTCCTCCACTAACAACGCCGCCACAGCCCTCCACTAACAACGCCGCCACAGTCCTCCACTAACAACGCCACCACAGCCCTCCACTAACAACGCCGCCACAGCCCTCTACTAACAACGCCGCCACAGTCCTCCACTAACAACGCAGCCACAGTCCTCCACTAACAACGCCACCACAGCCCTCCACTAACAACGCCGCCACAGCCCTCCACTAACAACGCAGCCACAGTCCTCCACTAACAACGCCACCACAGCCCTCCACTAACAACGCCGCCACAGCCCTCCACTAACAACGCCGCCACAGCCCTCCACTAACAACGCAGCCACAGTCCTCCACTAACAACGCCGCCACAGTCCTCCACTAACAACGCCACCACAGCCCTCCACTAACAACGCCGCCACAGCCCTCCACTAACAACGCCGCCACAGTCCTCCACTAACAACGCCGCCACAGTCCTCCACTAACAACGCCGCTACAGCCCTCCACTAACAACGCAGCCACAGTCCTCCACTAACAACGCCGCCACAGCCCTCCACTAACAACGCCGCCACAGCCCTCCACTAACAACGCCACCACAGCCCTCCACTAACAACGCCACCACAGCCCTCCACTAACAACGCCGCCACAGCCCTCCACTAACAACGCCGCCACAGTCCTCTACTAACAACGCCGCCACAGTCCTCCACTAACAACGCCGCCACAGCCCTCCACTAACAACGCCGCCACAGCCCTCCACTAACAACGCCGCCACAGCCCTCCACTAACAACGCCGCCACAGCCCTCCACTAACAACGCCGCCACAGCCCTCCACTAACAACGCCGCCACAGCCCTCCACTAACAACGCCGCCACAGTCCTCCACAAAGAGGAGCACGACCTACGGCGCCAGGTTCGCCTACACACACACCAAAGATGACGGATCAAGTGTACAGTGATGGCCGAGACTTCATTACTACCACTAATGTACACAGATAATGCCTTAATAGCATTGGGCTTCTCAAGTGATGCCAAACTAATTTGTTATAAAAAGAAATTAAAGTTTGCTAATATTTTTAAGTGTAAGACAGGGCGTAGTTAATGTAGTACACATCCTGGTGTATAAAGTTAGATGGGGTACCCTAGCCTGTGCCAAGGTCTTCCCCACCTCTTTAATTCTTATCCAGTCCTCTTCCCCACCTTCTCATTTTTTTTATTAATATATTAGGTACATCTGCATTTGTGCAGCTACCCTAGAGTATATGAGGGAGAGTACAGTGTGTCAAAAAGCTATATACGTGATGCTAAAAATCCCCATCACACAGGATGGTTAGTCATACAGAGGCACGTGATAAGCAGTCTGCACTGGCAGACTCCGGGTGCATTATGAGGATATCATCAACACAAGAGGGAATAAGGCAGCAGTGGTACTAAAAGTCCCCATCTCGCAGGAAGGTTAGTCATACACGGCCATATGTATAGTAGCCTCAACTACCAAATTTTATTATGAAGCGCCGAAAAAAGTTAAAAACTACGGGAAACACATCCCCGATTCCAGACGTCATGAAAATCTTTGTGGGAGTCGCTAAAGATTCCGATTTTATTCATTTAAGTCCTGTGTGATGAATGCCCTTAACACAGGTGTGGGGGACATTACTAGCCACCACTAGTTATTATGACCATCACTATTACGGTCATGAGTGACCTTCCCTCGCCTCCACTAGTAATTAACACCCTCACATAACATGACACAAACATATAGGTATAGATATATATCTCGTACATAAGCGAGAATGGACAAAGACAAAGTTGGAGGGCACTTGAGGCTACTAGCCTCGCCCACACTTAGGGTAAATGGTCTGGGGTATGGAACGGACACTGGCTGGTCGGGGTAGGCCTAGGGTTACAGGACTTATTAGTAATTATTGACACCCACAATTTTCCTGGATTATGTGAAATATTGGTTGTGAGGTAACAAGTTTTTCGTGTTCGCACAAAAATGTTTCCTCAAGAGACCCCATATGTTGCCTGCTAATATATTTTGAGAAGGGGGGGGGGGCAACACCAGCACGGTGGGCACGCCCACGGCTGCCAGCACCAGCACGGTGGGCACGGCCACAGCTGCCAACACCAGCACGGTGGGCACGGCCACAGCTGCCAACACCAGCACGGTGGGCACGGCCACAGCTACCAGCACGGTGGGCACGCCCACAGCTGCCAACACCAGCACGGTGGGCACGGCCACAGCTGCCAACACCAGCACGGTGGGCACGGCCACAGCTGCCAACACCAGCACGGTGGGCACGGCCACGGCTGCCAACACCAGCACGGTGGGCACGGCCACGGCTGCCAACACCAGCACGGTGGGCACGGCCACGGCTGCCAACACCAGCACGGTGGGCACGGCCACGGCTGCCAACACCAGCACGGTGGGCACGGCCACAGCTGCCAACACCAGCACGGTGGGCACGGCCACAGCTGCCAACACCAGCACGGTGGGCACGGCCACAGCTGCCAACACCAGCACGGTGGGCACGGCCACAGCTGCCAGCACCAGCACGGTGGGCACGGCCACAGCTGCCAACACCAGCACGGTGGGCACGGCCACAGCTGCCAACACCAGCACGGTGGGCACGGCCACAGCTGCCAACACCAGCACGGTGGGCACGGCCACAGCTGCCAACACCAGCACGGTGGGCACGCCCACAGCTGCCAACACCAGCACGGTGGGCACGGCCACAGCTGCCAACACCAGCACGGTGGGCACGCCCACAGCTGCCAACACCAGCACGGTGGGCACGCCCACAGCTGCCAACACTAACCATACACCACCAGGGTGTATGGTCTAAGCGTTCAACACAAAACACTACTCATGGGTAAACAAAAGCAACGAGGTACATGTGTACATGTAAGTGTGTACATAACTTCTCCACTTTAAACTGTGGCTGTTCCATGTATACTAATACGAGCGTAGCACATGTACACATTCATCACAGAGGCACATATAGGCCTAGTACTTTACCAATAAAGTATAAAACAATACTAGGTTTAGACACATAACTTTAGAACATTTCCCAAGTAAACAATGGTGGGTTTCACATATTAACATATATGTATCGTAACATCAATTAGGTAGCACAGTAGTCTAACCTATAGGCTCGCACTCAAGGGACCCGGGTTCAATCCCCGGCCGAGACAAACACGGTTGGATAAATTTGCTTTTCACCAGATACCTCTATTCACTTCTAAGTATAATACAAGGGAGTTAGACAGCTGTTGTGGGTGGCACCGTGAGGAAGGCCAGTAGCTGGTCTTGGAACATGTGGGTAAGCCTAAACACAGGCTATCCGTCCCACACCAGTGATTTTATCACTATCAAAACAATACTCCACAAATTCAAAATGTAAAGAACTCTAGCGGCTAAAAATCATTGTATATCCTTACAGTGTTTTAACATGCAAGCTGCCAGTTTCCTGACGGTGTACACACGTGTGCAAGATCATCACAAACACCCACAGATAAATACCAGTGATCGCCATTCACAAACGTTTAAGGCATCAACACCATGAACGTTTGCTGTGGTGCATGACACCACCACCACCAGCCAGCACCGTCACCACACCTCCCGTCTACACCACTCACACTGGACACATGGCCCATGATACAGGACAACAAGGCACGTGTCCAGGCCTACACACACGGCCTTACTGAAGGACACACACACAGCCTCGCCTCAGCTGATCACATGTCCCGCAGATTGCTCACAAAAATCAATACCTGCAACATTTAACAACAAGAGAACCAGCTCACAGCATCAGCATACCTCATCTGGTTTCGGATGGACGTGGTTACACACGTGTTCCGCAGACACTATTGTTACGAGTATTATTAAGACGGAGGGAGCGGAGGCCGCACACGACAACCACACCCAGACACTCATGGTTCCATGCTCACACTGACGCTCCCGGGCCGCCGGACCCCCACCCCGCCACACGTAAATATGGGCTCAGCCATTCTCCCCGCGTGGGGGAGGACACTTGCCTTCCCTAACACCCCACTACTCTACTGTAATTCTTCCGGCATTTGTTTCCTGGCTAGTGTCCTTTGGTCCCGTGGCGGAGACGGCAAGCTCATGGCTTGATAAAAGGTACCTTAAGCTTGTAATGAATTTATCCTATTATGTTTGACCTGTATCTAATATATAATTAATTATATTATAATCTTGTACTAATTCTTGTCAAAGAATGGACGAGATAACTCAATACTATAATAATTTAGCTCACTACTTTGTCTTAGTATCATAATTCTTTATAACTCTACAAATATTTAATCTATTTGATTAACTTTGCACTTGTATACAAAGACTGTCAACGACTGTCGTTTGTATACATAAATACCATTAAGACATTTTAAGTTTAAATAATTGTATGTGTATTATAAGAGGAATACCGGTCATGTGTGGCATTCTTCCAAGAATGGCAGCTGGAAATGAATGGTTGTCCAAGACACTTGGTGTCAATTGCCGACAAGACAAATATTGTAAATTAAATGCAATATTCCCATTGATAACTGTGAACACTTCTATAGAAGGAATGACATGTATGCTCGGGATGGCGAGCATTTATCCAGGACTGTTGCTGCTGCTGTTGTTGTTGCAACTCGTTGGCACCTGTGGTGGGAGAGGTTTGTTTGGGTTTAAACTGTTAGTAGACAGTGGTGTGGGAATTTATATGGAGAAAGGAGGCAATAAAAGTATGTGTTGGTGGGGGAAAAAATTGGCAAAGTGAACAGGAAAGGCGAAGGGCCTCAAAATAGCAATACACTTAAGGTATATTACACAAACAATAGGAGTCTAAGAAACAAAATAAACGATTTAAATGTTCTTGTCTACACAGAAACAATAGATATTAGTGCACTTATCGAAACATGGATGAATATAGAAAACAGATAACTATTAGCTGAATATCAAATACACGGATTTAAATTATTTTACACACATAGATATATTAGACGAGGAGGGGGAGTAGCCATATATATTAAGGAAAATTTGAAATGTAGTCTCAAAAAAGGAATCAAAACTGAGCCACACACAGAAACTATTTGGCTAGAATTAAACGAAAAAACACATAATCTTATAATAGGAGTATATATACAGGCCAACAAACTTAGAATGGAAGCAATGTATCAGTATATGTAGTACATATGTAGTATATATGTACTACAGTATATGTATTACATGTATATGTAGCAATGTAGGTACTCAGGACACAGCAAACCAGATATAACAACCTTATACAACTCAACACAACACGGGTGGACGGACGAGTACAAAAGACTACAAAGGGAACGACAAGATGAGCTGCAAGATCTATGCAAAACAGAGAACACCAAACAATGGGATGACCTAATAAACAAAATCCAAGTTGACTTTAGAAACCCGGGAAAGTTCTGGAAAAACGTAAAGACCGTGATGGGAAACTCTTCTGGGGAAACACCCAACATCATAGACGCCTCAGGAAACACCCAACATCATAGACGCCTCAGGAAACACCCAACATCATAGACGCCTCAGGAAACACACAACATCATAGACGCCTCAGGAAACACCCAACATCATAGACGCCTCAGGAAACACCCAACATCATAGACGCCTCAGGAAACACCCAACATCATAGACGCCTCAGGAAACACCCAACATCATAGACGCCTCAGGAAACACCCAACATCATAGACGCCTCAGGAAACACCCAACATCATAGACGCCTCAGGAAACACCCAACATCATAGACGCCTCAGGAAACACCCAACATCATAGACGCCTCAGGAAACACCCAACATCATAGACGCCTCAGGAAATAAACTCTATGAGGAAGGAAAACAAAAACAGGAATTCAGGAAGTTCTGGGAAAAAATATTCAGGATAAACCCGGAAGAAAATTTAAACTTTTGCCCTATTAAAGAAAGGGCAATTACAAGTCAAGTCGATAACAGAGCTGCAGCACTACTCCCGACGCAAACAATAGACCTTAACAATATCCACAATGACTGCCACCTTATGAAACACATAACCATTACAGAGGTCCATAAAACAATTATGGGTTTCAAGAACAAGGCGCCGGGCAACAGCAAGATAAATAAGATGGTATTATCCAACCTACCAGTGATTGCACTCCAGCAATACACATGTATAATAAATACAGCTCTTGCATTTGAACTATTCCCCACATACATCAAGAATGCCACAATAGGATTAATCCCCAAGTCAGGTAAACCCCCAACCCAAACTGAAAATTACAGGCCAATTTCCCTCCTCGAAGTACCAGGTAAAATATTCGAAAAAATTATCAATCAGAGACTTGTGAAGTACATGGAAGAGGAAGGGAAGTATAACACCAGGCAACATGGGTTTAGACACCGCAGAGGGGCCCATACAGCTATAGCCCTGATCTACCAGCATATAGCCAACGCAGTGTCGAAAAAAGATCAGTGTAATATAGTGCTTAGGGACGTCTCGAAAGCCTTCGACAAAGTGTGGCACACAGGCCTAAAATATAAGATATCTGAACTAGGACTTCTGAGAGATTTACTGCTACTCTCTGCAGCTTTATAGACAATAGAACTGCTAGGCTAAATATCGGCAGCTACTTGGGTGACGTAATAGAACTGAAAAGTGGAGTACCACAAGGAAGCTGCCTCTCCCCCTCTCTATTCAACATATATACAACTGACCTACCCCAACCCCAACATGGAGAATACATCACATACGCTGACGATGTCACCCAAATAATATGCCAACCGGGTCCATCAAAGCCGCTACTAGCCGACAAGACCAAGGCGGCAATTGAACTCATAAACAACATTGAGAAACAATGGAAAATCAGCACAAACGAACAAAAGTTCCAGATAATACACATTACAAAAAGAAACCCAGACTCCATAATCTTTGACAACCGCCCGATCCAATATGCGAAAGTAGGCAGAATGCTGGGACTCATGATCAATAAAACAGGGATAAAAATTCACGTAAAGGACCGACTAAACAAAGCCAAAGTAGCCTTAGGAAAACCTGAGGAAACTCTGAAGCCTCAGTACGAACATTCAGATCTACTTTTTTTTTTTTTGAGATATATACAAGAGTTGTTACATTCTTGTACAGCCACTAGTACGCGTAGCGTTTCGGGCAGGTCCCTGGAATACGATCCCCCGCCGCGAAGAATCGTTTTTTCATCCAAGTACACATTTTACTGTTGCGTTAAACAGAGGCTACAGTTAAGGAATTGCGCCCAGTAAATCCTCCCCGGCCAGGATACGAACCCATGACATAGCACTCGCGGAACGCCAGGCGAGTGTCTTACCACTACACCACGGAGACCGCCTATATAAGGCTCTAGTTCGGCCGCATCTAGAGTATCCCCCAGTACCACTACACACCATAAAGAAAACTAGCATGCAAAAACTGCAAGCAGTGCAAAATAAGGCGCTAAGGAGAGCAGAAAAACACCGTCCACCATATGGATTCCATGGAAAACTGTTCTAAGTAATACAAGTCCTACAGAAGGAATAGAAAAACTGACTTCGGGAGCGTATCAAGTCTGAATGAAAAATGTTCCCTTGAGGAAAGCCAGAAAGAGATCCAACGAAGAAAGAGAACGCAGACGGCACTATAAAAGAAGGAAAAAATAACGGAAATGCTTATGCAGACACGAATTTCCCGTCAAAGAAGGAATAATTTAAATAGGGAGAGTGAAGAAATCGAGCGAAAATTGAAACTCATATCAAACTTAAGAAAGGCAGTTAGAACAGAAAGCAATTCAGGAAATAAAGAAAAATCCAAAATACTTCTTCATATATGCGAAATCAAAAGCAAAAACCACTGCCAGTATTGGACCTATTCGTGCAAGTGAAGGTTCATACACGGAGGATGACAAAGAAATTAGTGAAATCCAAAAAAAAAACAGTATGAGAACATGTTTAGCACTCCAATAAACAACATGAAAGTGGAAGGTCCAGACAATTTCTTTATGCGGGATATCCAAACCCCTGTAAATATAACTGATATCAACACGAGCGTACTAGACTTTGAAAGATAAATTGAAAACATGCCCATGCACTCGGCCCCAGGTCCAGATTCAAGGAATTCGATGTTTATAAAGAAATGCAAAGTGCCGGTAGCACAGGCACTCAGTATAGTGTGGCGGAAGAGCTTGGACACGGAGGAGATACCAGAAGTAGCAGACATAGCCCCTCTACACAAGGGAGGGAGCAAAGCACTGGCAAAGAATTATAGACCAGTTGCACTAACGTCGCACATAATAGAAGTACTTATTTGAGAGAGTGATTAGGAGTCAGGTTACCAATTTCATGGAGACCAATGACCTTCACAACCCAGGCCAACATAGATTTCGAGCGGGAAGATCGTGCCTCTCACAGCTACTTGATCACTACGACAAAGTCACTGAGGCATTAGAAGAAAAACAGAATGCTGATGTGTTATACACTGACTTCGCAAAGGCTTTCGATAAATGTGACCATGGCGTGATAGCACACAAAATGAAGTCAATGGGAATAACTGGTAAAGTAGGACGCTGGATACTCAGTTTTCTGTCAAACAGGACTCAGCGAGTAACAGTCAACCATATAAAATCTAGTCCAAGCGCAGTTAAAAGCTCAGTACCTCAGGGTACAGTCCTTGCACCACTGTTTTTCCTTATTCTCATATCAGATATAGACAAAAATAAAAGTCACAGCTTCGGGTCATCCTTTGCAGATGACACAAAAATCAGTATGAAAATTACCTCGGCTGAAGACATTGAAAAACTTCAAGCTGATATTAATAAAGTTTTCGACTGGGCATCAGAAAATAACATGATGTTTAACAGTGATAAATTCCAGGTACTCAGGTAGGGTAAAAATGAGGACCTTAAACATAATACAGGATACAAAACACAATCAAATGTGCCCATAGTAGGAAAACAGCATGT